AGCAGTATGATTTGTAAGACCACAAATTTGGCATGATACTTTAGGTCTAACTCCATTGGATTGACGCCGATAATTGTAAAAGATAGGTAGGCTATTTGGAGTAGGAAGAATAGGCGTAGTATTATTTTGTTTCATGACAATGTTGGCTAAAGGTGGCTCTTGTGAACTCTTGATTAAAATTTCATGTGCAACCAATTGCCCATACAATTCATAGAAGGAAACAGGTTTAGATTTGAGAATCATGGAGCTAATGATTGAATGATACTCGAAACCAATATTGCGATAAATAATCGCATTGAATTCTGCAGAAGAAATGGGGTGACCAGCTGCTTGTAACTCATCAACCAAAGTTTTTGCTTTATGGAGATAATCAGATACGAATAGATCATTCTTTTTCAATTCTTGCAATTCAATGTGTATTTGAAGTTGCCGATTTTGAGAAACGGAACCAAAGGCATGAGATAATGCTTTCCATACATCAAAAGATGAAGTTAAACTAGAAATATATGAAAAATTTCTGTAGTTAAAGATGAGAGAATCCAAGATAGAAGCATTTGATCCTTTTTGAACCATAAATCATATTCAGGATTAGGAACAGAAATAGCAGACCCAACATTGGTGATATTTTTTGGTGGTGCTGGTTTAGAACCATCAATGTAGCCATGAAGTTTCTGGTAATTAAGCAAAGGAGTGAATTGCATTTTCCATGCAAGATAGTTTTTGGTGTTTAATTTGATAGAGAATGAATGTGAAGAGGTATGAGAAGAGGACATAGAATTGAAAGGGATGTTAATGGTAATGTGAAGAGGTATGAGAAGAGGACATAGAATTGAAAGGGATGTTAATGGTAGATGTAGTGTTAGAGGAAGACATAATTGATAACTAATGAATGGTTTAAGCTCCAATACCATGAAAGAACTCCCAAATGCTGTTGTATTTTTTCTGTATTTCATATACAGCAGAAATAGAGAATTTATATAAGAATTACAACTAAAATTACTATGTACTAGGCTGCACCTTAAACTGAAAGACTAAGTTCAAATACAAAGAATATTTGAAATATAATTCTGTTAATATAAGGCCTAATCCTTTTGGCCAGTAAATATCCTGTTACTATGCTAATAATTATAAGGTTGCAAATTGTATAGATCGAGAGTTAAACATAAAACAAAACCTATTAGTCCAAAAGCAGCAAAAGTCCACAAACCACTTAATTAACAATAGCAAGTAAAATTTCCTTGTGCTTTAGGACCCCATAAAAATAACAAAGAATGTGCTAAACTATTTGTAGTAGAGGAGTAGAGACAGTGGCAATTAAGAAGTTATAGCCTTCCAAATAGGAATTGGTCAATCCATAGGCATATCATAAAGTTACAAAGTTGAAACAAACTAAAGAAAATGAATAGTTGATGGTTTATAAGTCTAGAACAGATTCATCAACAAATTAGAAACTCATCGTCCCCTGTTCTGACCTAACCGGTGCCTAATTCGTCTTTAGCCTTTGACCTATAGCTAGGATCACAATGAAGATCTTTATTTAATGTGAACTAACCTTATCACTAACATGCCCCCTCAAGTTGTACTATCGGTGTGGGGCGATAGTCAACTTGTCTCTCAACAATATAAACCTATTCTTAGTCAACGGTTTCGTTAATATATCTGCAATTTGATCATTGGAAGATAAATAACGAACCTATAACTCCTTGCTTGCAACTTTATCCCGAACAAAGTGGACATCTATTTGTACATGCTTCATGCAACTATGTTGAAGGGGATTAACTGTGACATCCCAGGTTTGGGGCACTACACCTTAGGTGAATCCCACATCGGCTACGCACAGGGTGTTCAGACAGTACAAAAGAGGGGTGATGCCTTGAATGGTTGGACTGGTGAAATGCGCTGGGGAGAGTTGGAAGAACTCCAGGGTTAAGCTGTGCTCGCTTAATGAAATCCTAGGATGGGTGACCTCCTGGGAAGTTTCCATTTCCCCAAGAACCAAAAAACCGTGAGGGTGACTCGTACGGAAGGGCCCAAAGCGGGACAATATTCAGCCATTGTTCAAAGGAACCCTGACAATGTATATCAGAGCCAGGAGCCTGCCCCATTGTCCCTCTTGGCCGATGGGTGGGGGCAAACCTTCAGCGGAGGACGCTGAGTCCCTAAGGGGGGGGTGTATGTGAACATCCCAGGTTTGGGGCACTACACCTAGGCGAATCCATTCGGCTACGCACAGGGTGTTCAAACAGTACATTTAAGAAGGGGTGAATGCCTTTGAATGGTTTGGACTTCGTTTGGTGGGTGAAATGGCTGTGAGAGTTGGAAGATCTCCAGGGTTAGCATGGCTCGCTTAATGGAAAATCCATAGGATGGGTGACCTCCTTGCGAAGTTTTCACATTTCCCCAGAACAAAAAACCGTGAGGGTGACTCGTACGAAGGGCCCAAAGCGGACCAATATTCAGCCTGTCAAGGACCCTGACAATAAATTTGTAAACACCCCTCCCGGTCCACCTTGTAAACCCGAATGCACCGAGTCGAGATGCTACAAACTGCGTTGGACTGTAATGCGTCTGACATGCTGAAAAAACCATTTACTGTATATTGAATATCAATAAACATTGCTTGCGTACTGTTTCAAAAATAATGTAATTTTACAAAACATGATACAAAGTTTTTACAAATTAAAATGGCCCAACTGTGTGCCCTTGTAACATGCCATAAAAGAAAAAACAAAATGAGTTTTCTACCCTGAAGACCGAGTCTTCTACAGATGAACTGCAGAGTTTGTACGCGGACTTCTATGGACAGGTTTTCTCAAAAACCTGCGGAGCTTAAACAGGTAACTCGCTGAGAAATAATTGCTCAGTGGATATTCTCAATAATAAAGAAAACAATTAAAAGCACATACATGGATAGAAATAAGCATGTAAATGCATATGGATAATTAAACATATAAGCACATATAGCATGATCCTTTCATTATACCTTGATTATCTTTCGTACTGGTTATAATACTGTATGATTCATGAAATGTTATGTCAAGATATCTGAATGGCTCCATAAGGTTATAGTGAAACCGAAGTGATAAGAAAAATGTGGGTCCCGAATATATATGGCACAACCCAAGAGGGGAGTGAATTGGGTTTTCTAAAAACTGAAATAAATTTTAGAAATTCTAAACAAGGATTAGAATTCTAAGCACAGCGGAAATCCACTCAACGGCCTATAGCCGGGTTCCAAATCTGATTAATGGGGCGCAGATCTGCTATTCTTATGTCGCAGACATAGCCTTATCTACATGCGTTTCACCTAACCTCAATGGAGCTTAAGATTAGCATGTCAACAATGTAACACAATAGCACATAAATGGTTTCACAACGTCATAGTTCATCATATTGATTTGCTCTGATACCAAAATTTGCTTACATGTTGTTTGAATCCATGTTCTTATATTATATTTTTGTTTTACAATGATTGGATGCATGTATGTTGAGCAAAGGAATGTAATTGTATGGAAAATCAAAGCATCAGTCGCGAGCGCGACATTCCAAGTCGCGAGTGCGAGATGCTTCCCAGAGAGAAGTCGCGAGCGCGTCTTCAAACCTCGCGAGCGCAAGAAATGCATTTGAGAGTCAGAGGGTTTTCTGGCTCAAGTCGCGACCGCGCAGCACACGTCGCGAGCGCGCTTGTCATATAAATGCTTGTATGTTGTTTTAATCCATGTTCTTAGGTTGTATTTTTGTTGAAAAATGATTGGATGCATGCATGTTGAGCAAAGGAATGTAATTACATGGCAAATGAAAGGCAAAAGAGTGTCACAGCATAAGTCGCGAGCGCGCAATGGGAAGTTGCGAGCGCGACGTGCTTTCCAGCATGCGCGAGCGCGCGACGTGATTCTGTGCAGTCTGTATTCTTTTGGCCATACAATATACAACTTCAAATTGAATGATTCAAAAGCCCATGTAAAGCTAAAAGCTAACACAGAAAGGAACAAATAACTCTTCTATGACAATTTCTAATTCCATCATTATATGGGTTCAAAATCAAGATGAAGTTGCTGGTAACATTTTCAGCAAACTCTGTTTCCGCTTCATATATTCATCCCCTGTTTTCACATCATTTCCAGTACTTCCACCCAACAACAAGCAACATATCATCTCATTGGAAACACACCACACAATTTACATGCAAATAAAATAGTAGACAGCATGAGATATCAAACCTTGACGTCAAAAGGCTTGACCTCTGTTTTAGCTTCTCTAAAGCTGGGGCTCTGTTTTAACTTCTCTTTTCTGCTACCTTTGAACTTTCTTCTTCATAACTCATCTCCAATATAACTCAATGAAATAGGAAATAACATCACACTTCAAGGAATTTTACTTACTTGCAGTTGACTTAATGCTTAACTATGTTTGAAGAGTGAAAGGAAAAGAGCGGGACAAGTAAGAGGAGAATGATAAACATGAAAATAGAAACTTGAACTGATAAGAACAGGTAGTCTCTAGAAGACGTGAGTTGGCTGTGTAACATAGCTAATTGGTACCTCAAGTATACAAAGGCTACAACTTCATACCCAAGCTGTATGTTTTGATGCAAACAAGTCCAAACTTTACATTCACATAAGTCCACAGTCACTTATCTCCATTTACCCCATCAGGTTTGTTCAAACCCGACTCAACTCAAGAGGGATGTTACAGTTCTTCCCCTTCTAAAATAAAAACTTCGTCCCGAAGTTTACCTGTTTGTAACAAATTGCGGATATTGTTTCGCATGGTGTCTTCTGATTCCAAGTTGGCTTCTTCTGTCTTATGATCCTCCAAAGAACTTTCACCAATGCTATTTTCTTGTTCCGCAATTTTCTATTAGTTTTCTTTGCGCTGGATCTTGAACTGCGTTCTTCTTTCATACGTTTGAGATCCGGCTGAATTTCAATAAGTGAGATCTGGCTGAATATCAATCTCTTCCGCTGATAATACATGTGAGGGATCTGATCTGTATCTCCTTAACATTGATACATGAAAGACATTATGAATCGATCTAAAGTTGGAGGTAATGCTAGGCGATAGGCTAATGGTCCTACGCGTTCAACAATCTCGTATGGACCAATGAACCTAGGGCTTAGCTTACCCTTTTGTCCAAACCTTAGGATCTTCTTCCATGGTGAAGCCTTCAAAAATACTTTATCCCCAACTGAATACTCAATGTCTTTTCTCTTTAAATCCGCATAGGATTTCTGTCGATCACTTGCTTCCTTCAGCCGTCTTCTGATGATTTCTGCTTTCTCTTCTGTGTCTCTCACCAAATCTGGACCCAAAATCTTCTTCTCACTAAGTTCTGTCCAACATACAGGTGTTCTGCATTTTCTACCATACAATGCTTATATGGTGCCATCTTGATGCTTGATTGGTAACTGTTGTTATAAGCGAATTCCATGAGAGATACATATCTGTCCCAACTGCCTTCAAATTCAATAACACATTATCTCAACATGTCTTCCAGGATTTGAATCACTCTCTCTGATTGCCCATCTGTTTGCGGATGAAATGCAGTGCTGAAATGCAGTTTCGTTCCTAATGCCTCCTGCAGTTTACCCCAGAACTTCGATGTAAACCTTGGATCACGATCAGAGATAATGGATGATGGAACTCCATGTAGTCGAACTATCTCACGAAGATAAATTTCTGCTAACTTGTCCAGAGAATAGTTGCTAACTTGTCTAGAGAATAGTCCATCTTAACTGGTAGAAAGTGTGCGGACTTAGTTAATCTGTCCACAATCACCCATACTGCATCATGCTTCCGCTGCGTCTGTGGTAAGCCAGTAACAACATCCATCGTGATCTGATCCCATTTCCATGTTGGCACTGTTATTGGATGAAGTAACCCGGATGGCAGTTGATGTTCTGCTTTTACCTGTTTTGTTGACATGTTAAACATCTTGTTACAACATCTCCGATGTCTCTCTTCATGCCTGGCCACCAGTAGTCTTTCTTCAAATCTTGATATGGTGCTACCTGGATGCATTGTATATGGACTGTTATGAGCTTCATGCAGAATCTTTTGTCTGACCTCCCCTGTCTGTGGTACAACAATTCTATCTACATAAAACAAAACTCCATTGCTATCCAATCTAAATTTCCCACCATGATCTACCTGGACTTATTTAACCCATAGGGCTATTTGTGCATCTTTCTTCTGTGCTTCTTCTGTGCTTCTGCAACTTCCTGAACCCAAGATGGTTGTACTTGCATCTGTGCTAGAATAGCTCCTTGCTGTTGTAACTCCATACTAATTCTCATGAAGCTCAAAGCATACAAGGATTTCCGACTAAGGGCATCCGCTACCACATTAGCTTTGCCCGGATGATAATTAATGACATAATCATAATTAGCCAGAATCTGCATCCACTTCCGTTGTCCTGAATTCAAGTCCTTCTGTGTTGGTAAGTACTTTAAACTCTGATGATCTGTATAAATGTAACACTTTTCACCATACAGATAATGCCGCCATACTTTGACTTGAATGCTAGAACATGGCTGCCAGTTCAAATATGGGTTGGATAATTAACTCAATGTGGTTTCAATGTCTGGAAGACATAGGCGACACTTTTCTTATCTTGCATGAGTACACATCCAAAACCCAGTATGAGGAGGCATCACTGTGAAATCTCAAAGTCTTTACCTGACACTGGCTGAGTTAACACTGGTGCTTCAGTCAACTTTCTCTTCAAAGTGTCAAATCTGCTGACATCTCAGTAAATTCTCTTTCGTATTCAAGCTACAGACATTCTGTTCCTGCTCGCAGGTAATAAGAATTTCTTTCCTTCTCGCATCTAGGTAAGCCTTTCGGTAATGAAAAACTTCTTCTTGAATTCATCCAAGAAGAATTGCCAAGTACGCTTGATCTGGCTGTTACTCTTCTGTTACACAGTGGTCCACCATTGTAATATTGTCCTCTAATCAGAATGAAGTGGCACAAATCAACTTGTCTTCGCTGTAACTGCAATTGTTCTAAGGACTCTCGATGTCCCATCTAGCAAATACTCAGCTTACTTCGGGACTATCATCTTTGCTCGCTTTGAATTCCTTTGCATACCATATTTTCTAAGCTTCTCCAATGGGGGGTTTTCTCTCTCTCTCACCACTACTGGTGCTTGAGGTATCACCCCTGCATCTGTCAAAAGTATCTGCAAGTTGTTTTAAAGCCCTTTGACCTAGTGCTCTTGAAGCCTCACTCCACTGTTCTGCTTGACCTGGTGCTGCTGGCCTCACCCTCCACTGCTCTGCGAGGCCGTTGACTCACTTTCAACTTCCTGAGACATCCTCCTAAAAAGAACAACAACTGCTTAGTTCATCAGGGTAGTCATGGCATGTACACTATACTGACTTATGCATTCAAGCCCGGGGAAATTAAACCGAGGGCTCTGACACCAAAATTTGTAACACCCCTTCCCGGTCCACCCGTTAACCCGAATGAACCGAGTCGAGATGCTACAACACTGGTTGACTGTATGATTAGACATACTGATATCATAATACTGAATATTTATATATATATACCGATGGAAGTTGTTTACATTAATAATGTAATGAATATATACATAACATGATACTAGTTTACAAAATGAAATGGGCCCAACTGTGTGCCCTGTACATGCCATGAAAGGAAAATAAAAAGATACACATCAAAATGAGTAGCTACCCTGAAGACTGTGTCTTCAACAGATGAACTGCTGCAGTTGTAAGCTGACGCTCTCTAGACCAGTCTCAAAAAAAAACCTGCGAGTTAAACATGTAACTCGCTGAGCTATACAAGCCCAGTGGATATCTCAATATAGAAAGACATAATTAAGCACACATATATGCAGAAAGAATTATGTAAGTACATATAATAAACACATAAGGCACAGATAATCACACATATCATCTTACTTTCAATTTTTATCTGATCGATCTTTTCTTGTTGTGTATATACTGTATGGTTCATTAAATATTAGTTACAATGTCTGTATGGCTCCATAAAGGGTTATAGTGAACCGGAAGTGATAAATAAACTGTATGAAATACTGTAGGCTAATAGGCCCCCGAACCGGATTCGCCTATGCCACTGTATTGACTAGTGAGATACTGTCCGTTTGGTGCCCCTAACGCGGATTTTGCACCGCACGGTTTAATCATATCCACTCAACGGCTCTGTAGCCGGAGTTTCAAACTGTATGGGGCGCAGATCTGCATTCTATGTCGCGACATAGCCTTATCTACATGGTTTCTACCGAACCTCACCTGGAGCTTACTGCATAACTACAAATGTAATTACAACAGCACATTGATAGTGTCACAACATCATAACTCATCAATGTTTATTTATTTCACATCCATATCAATGCTTAAATGTTAATTTTAAAATCCATGTTCTTTATGTTTATGTTTTGTTTTACAATGATTGGATGCATGCATGTTGAAGCAAAGGGAATGTAATTCATAGCAAATTGAAAGGCAAAAGAGTGTCAAAGCATCAGTCGCGAGCGGCGACATTCCAAGTCGGAGCCGCGAGATGCTTCCCAGAGAGACGTCGCGAGCCGGTCTTTCAAACCTCGCCGAGCGCGAGAAATGCATTTGAGAGTCAGAGGTTTTCTGGCTTCAAGTCGCGACCGCGCAGCACCAGTCGCGACGCGAGAATGAAGTCGGCGAGCGCGCTTGTGTGGTTTTCGCGAGCGCGAGATGCGCACACTGAGGGTCAGAGAGCTTCTGGCCAAAGTCGCGACCGTGCTTGTGATCTCGCGAGCGCGGTTGTGCAAATTGAGAGTCAGAGAAGCTACCTGACTCAAGTCGGCGAGCGCAGCAATAGGAAATCGCGAGCGGACTTGCTTTCCAGTATGCGCGAGCGCGCGATGTGATTCTGTGCAGTGTGTTCTTTTTGGCCATAACGTTCCTCCCTTCCCCCCCCCCCAAAAATAGCTTAACTCAAATTGAACTGAATCTCAAAAAGACCATGTAAAGCTAACACAGAAAGGAAAAATAATCTTCCTTCTATGACACTTCCTAATTCCATCACTAAATGGGGTCAAAATCAAAATGAAGTTGCTGGTAACATTTCCAGCAAACTCTGTTTCAGCATAACTCAATATCTACTTCACTTATTCAATTCCTCCCCTGTTTTCTCACCATTACCCGTCCTCCCACTCAACATAAAACAATATATGGTCTCACTATCAACACTCCACACAAATGCTCATGCAAAGAAAATGGTAAATGAAAAGAGATATCAAACCTTTTACGCCAAAGCTGGGGCTCTGTTTTAACTTCTCTTTTCTGCTACCTTTGAACTTTCTTCTCCTATACACAAGAATTCTCATAACTCATCTCCAATATAACTCAAATAAAGAGTGGATAACATATAACTTCAAGGAATTCTACTTACTTGGAGGTGACTTAGTGCTTAACGTGCATGAAACTTGCAAGGAAACGAGAGAGAAAGTAAGAAGAGAATATGAAAATGGGAAAGTGAGCTGATAAGAACGGGTAGTCTCTAGAAGAAATGACTTGGCTGTGTAAACTCTCTAATTGGTACCTCAAGTGTACAAAGACACAACTTAATACCCACACTGTATTATGTTTGGAGGCAAACAAGTCCTAAACTTTCCAATGCAAATAAGTCACCCTAAACTTTCCATGCAAATAAGTCCACTTATCATCCATTCTACCCCAACCAGGTTTGGTTCAACCCGACTCAACTCAAGAGGATGTTACACCTTCATCCATTCAAGCTATCAGTCTATCAAAACAGAGCAGGGTTGATCAGTTTATCTGGGGAATTCAAAGACTACTTTGCATGGATGGCTGAAGACATGGTCGAAATAGACCCAACAATCGCTTCTCATAAGATTCTTGCCTATGACTAGATAAAACTAGTAAAGCAGAAGTTAAGGAGATTGAAGCCTGAATGGTCTTTGAAAATTAAAAAGGAGGTCAAAGAACTTCTAGACAATGGGTTCAAAGAGTCGATCATTTACCCTTCATGGCTAGCAAACGTAGTACATGTCCTTAAGAAAGACGGGAAGGTCCGGATGTGCATGGATTATAGGGACCTAAATAAGGCATGTCCAAAGGATGATTTCCCCCACCTCATATTGACCAACTAGTGGACAGACTGGCAGGGTTAAAAGTGGTTTCACTGACAGATTTGTATGCTGGATATAGCCAAATGCTAGTGCATCCTCCAGATAAAAAAAAGACGACATTCATTACAAAATGGGGCACTTATTATTATAAAATGATGCCTTTTGGACTTAAAAACGGTGGGGCAACATACCAGAGGATGGTGACCACTATCTTCCATGACATGATGCACTAAGACATGGAAGTACACGTAGATGAAATGGTCATCGAGTCAAAGACAACCGCGGACCACCTTTGTGCTTTAAGACGTTTCTTCCTTAGACTCCGTTAGAACAACCTCAAGTTTAATCTTGCAAAGTGCTTATTCAGAGCCTCTTCTAGTATATTTTCGGGATACATGGTTAGCAAGAGGGGCATAGAGGTTAATTCATCAAAGTCGATGGCGATTTTAGAAATGCCAACTCCTAAGACTGAAAAAGAAATTAGGGGTTTCCTAACTCGACTATAATACATTAGCAGATTTAAGTCCAGCTGGCAAGTACATGCGGGCCCATATTCAAGCTCCTAAGGAAAGGGGTTTCTAGAAATTGAAACTAAGACTATCAAACTGCATTTGAGAAAATTAAGGAATATTTGCTAAATCCCCCTGTCCTTCAGCTGCATCGACTAAGGCAACCTCTTTTGTTGTATTTGTCAGTAACTTAAGAGTCCATGGGAGCCGTGCTTGCACAGATGGCCGAGGATTCATATAAGCAAAATTCCATTTATTATCTGAGCAAGCAATTGTTGATACACGAGCTAAAGTACAGACAGATAGAAAAACTCTACCTAGGACTCATATGGGTTTGCCAAACACTGTCACACTACATGTGCTCCTATACTATGCATGTCATCGCTGACCAAAGC